TTTTCTGGGTTGAGCTTCATCTGGTACTTACGCAGGGTGGTGAAGGTTTCTCGTAAATCAGTAAGGTGATCGGAGGAGTATTTGCTTTTGACTAGCATGTCGTCGACGTAGACTTCCATATTCCGGCCTATTTGGTGATGGAAAACGGTGTTAACCAGCCGCTGATAAGTGGCCCCAGCATTCTTCAGTCCGAATGGCATTACACAGTAGTGGTAGGTACCTCGGTCGGTAATAAATGATGTGTGCTCCTGGTCAGATGTGTGCATCAGGATTTGGTTGTACCCAGAGAAGGCATCCATGAAGCTGAGCATTTGATGACCGGCTGTGGCGTCGACCAGCAGATCTATGCGAGGAAGGGGGTAGCTGTCTTTGGGACAAGCTCGGTTCAGATCAGAGTAGTCGACACAGAGCCACCATTTGCCATTGTGTTTGCGGATGAGGACCACATTGGACAACCACCTAGGATAGTCCACATTTTTTATGAATTGGGCCTCGAGGAGTTTGTCAACTTCGGCGGCTATAAGGGTGTTGCGCTCTGGATGGAAAATGCGTTGCTTTTGGCGGTGGGGTCGAAAGTGGGGTTCGATGCTGAGGCGATGGGTTATGAAGGAGGGGTCGATGCCTAGCATATCAGAATGGGTCCAGACGAATACATCTCTGTGCTCGGTTAAGAGAGCAGTAAGGTCGGCCTTGGCTTGGGCGGGTAATTGACTGCCGATCTTGGCGGTTCTGATTGGGTTGGTGGGATCGATGTTGACTTCAACAAGTTCCTCTACATGTTCACCTCTGACCAGCTCGTCCTCGTCTCGGACGTCAAGCCCTTCGATGATCATGGCCTCTTTTAGTTTGACTTCCTTGAGTGAGGCGACATAACACTCCCTGGTCACGGTTTGTTCTCCTTTGACAGTTCCGACACCGAGATCGGTAGGAAATTTCATGGCCAGATGATATGTGGATGTGATGGCTTGGAAGGCATTTAGGGCTGTGCGGCCAAGGATAATGTTGTAAGCGGAGGGGCAGTCGACCACAAGGAAGGTGAGCAACTTAGTGGTCTGCCGCGGGTGCTCGCCGATGGTGATAGGCAGATCGATGGAGCCGATGGAGGTCACTTGGTCGCCGGTGAAGCCGACCGGAGGGGTTTGGAGAGGGGACAAACTCTCCTCCCCGATCTTGAGTTGGCGGAAGCAATTGAGGAAGATGATGTCTGAAGAGCTGCCGTTGTCTATGAGGACTCGTCTGACCTTGTAGTTGGAGAGGATGGCGAAAATGACAAGGGGGTCATGATGTGGGTAACGGACTCCTGCACAATCGGTGTCGGTGAAGGTGATGGGTTCGATCCATTGTTTTGACTGTTTGGGAGGTCGGTCCACCGTCGCCACTGCTTTGTCTGAG